CTAGCGGGTGCAAAATTGCAAGAACAAGGGCCTAGCATGTGCAAAATAAAAAGAACAAGGGCATAGCGTGTGCAAAATAGCAAGAACAAGACCTAGCGTGTGTATAATTGCAAGAAGAAGGGCCTAGCTTGTGCAAAATGGCAAGAGCAAGGGCCTAGCGTGTGCAAAAAATCAAGAACAAGGGCCTAGCGCGTGCAAAATTACGAAAACAAGGGCCTAGTATGTGCAAAATGGCAAGAACAAGGGCCTAGCATGTGCAAAATAGCAAGAACAAGGGTCATGCGAGTGCAAAATTGCAAGAAAAAGGGCCTAGCGTGTGCAAAATAAAACGAACAAGGACATAGCGTGTGCAAAATAGCAAGAAGAAGGGCCTAGCGTGTGCAAAATTGCAAGAACAAGGGCCTACTGTGTGCAAAACAAAAAGAACAAGGGCCTAGCGTATGCAAAATAAAAAGAACAAGGGCCTAGCGTGTGCGAAATTGCAAGAACAAGGGCCTAGCGTGTGCAAGATAGCAATAACAAGGGCCTAGCGTGTGCAAAATAGCAAGAACAAGGGCCTAGCGTGTGCAAAATAGCAAGCACAAGGGCATAGCGTGTTAAAAATAGCAAGAACAAGGGCCTAGCGGGTGCAAAATAAAAAGAACAGGGGCCTAGCGTGTGCAAAATAAAATGAACAAGGGCCTAGCGTGTGCAAAAAAAAAAGAACAAGGGCCTAACGTGTGCAAAATTGCAAGAACAAGTGCCTGGCGTGTGCAAAATTGCAAGAACAAGGGTCTAGCGAGTGCAAAATTGCAAGAACAAGGGCCTACCGTGTGCAAAATAAAAAGAACAAGGGCATGGCGTGGGCAAAATAGCAAGAACAAGGGCCTAGCGTGTGCAAAATAAAAAAAACAAGAGCCTAGCGTGTGCAAAATAAAAAGAACAAGGGCCTAGTGTGTCCAAAATAGCAAGAACAAGGGCCTAGCATGTGCAAAATTGCAAGAACAAGGGCCTAGCAAGTGCAAAATGGCAAGAGCAAGGGCCTAGCGTGTGCAACAAATCAAGAACAAGGGCCTAGCGTTCGCGAACTAGCAAGAACAAGGGCCTAGTATGTGCAAAATGGCAAGAAGAAGGGCCTAGCGTGTGCAAAATAGCAAGAACAAGGGCCTAGCGTGTGCAAAATTGCAAGAACAAGGGCCTAGCGTGTGCAAAATAAAAAGAACAACGGCATAGCGTGTGCAAAATAGCAATAACAAGGGTCTAGCGTGTGCAAAAAAAAATAGACAAGGGCCTCGCATGTGCAAAAAAAAAAAAAACAAGGGCCTAGCGTGTGCAAAATTGCAAGAACAAGGGCATAGCGTGTGCAAAATTGCAAGAACAATGGCCTAGCGAGTGCAAAATAGCAAGAGCAAGGGCCTAGCGTGTGCAAACAATCAAGAACAAGGGCCTAGCGTTCACAAAATAGCAAGAACAAGAGCCTAGCGTGTGCAAAATTGCAAGAACAAGGGCCTAGTATGTGCAAGATGGCAAGAACAAGGGCCTAGCGTGTGCAAAATAGCAAGAACAAGGGTCTAGCAAGTGCAAATTTGCAAGAACAAGGGCCTAGCTTGTGCAAAATAAAAAGAACAACGGCATAGCGTTTAACAAAATAGCAAGAACAAGGGCCTAGTGTGTGCAAAAAAAAAATAAAAAAGGGCCTAGCGTGTGCAAAATTGCAAGAACAAGGGCCTAGCGTGTGCAAAAAAAAAATAACAACGGCCTAGCGTGTGCAAAATAAAAAGCGCAAGGGCCTAGCGTGTGCAAAATACCAAGAACAAGAGCCTAGCGTGTGCAGAATTGCAAGAAGAAGGGCCTAGCGAGTGCAAAATTGCAAGAGCAAGGGCCTAGCGTGTGCAAAAAATCAAGAACAAGGGCCTAGCGTTCGCGAACTAGCAAAAACAAGGGCCTATCGTGTGCAAAATAGCAAGAACAAGGGTCTAGCGTGTGCAAAATTTCAAGAACAAGGGTCTAGCGCATGCAAAATTTCAAGAACAAGGGCCTAGCGTGTGCAAAAAAAAAAGAACAAGGGCGTAGCGTGTGCAAAAAGGCAAGAACAAGGGCCTAGCGTGTGCAAAATAAAATGAACAAGGGCCTAGCGTGTGAAAAAAAAAAGAACAAGGGCCTAACGTGTGCAAAATTGCAAGAACAAGGGCCTAGCGTTTGCAAAATTGCAAGAACAAGGGCCAAGCGAGTGCAAAATAGCAAGAGCAAGGGCCTTGCGTGAGAAAAATAAAAAGAACAAAGGCATAGCGTGTGCAAAATAGCAAGAACAAGGGCCTAGCGTGTGCAAAAAAAAAAGAACAAGGGCCTAGCGTGTCCAAAATAGCAAGAACAAGGTCCTAGCGTGTGCAAAATAAAACGAACAAGGACCTAGCGTGTGCAAAATAAAAAGAACAAGGGCATAGCTTGTGCAAAATAGCAAGAACAAGGGCCTAGCGTGTGCAAAATAAAAAGAACAAAGGCATAGCGTGTGCAAAATAGCAAGAACAAGGGCCTAGCGTGTGCAAAAAAAAAAGAACAAGGGCCTAGCGTGTGCAAAATAGCAAGAACAAGGGCCTAGCGTGTGGAAAAAAAAAAGAACAAGAGCCTAGCGTATGCAAAATAAAAAGAACAGGGCATAGCGTGTGCAAAATAGCAAGAACAAGGGCCTAGCGTGTGCAAAAAAGAAAGAACAAGGGCATAGCGTGTGCAAAATAGCAAGAACAAGAGCCTAGCGTATGCAAAATAAAAAGAACAAGGGCCTAGCGTGTGCAAAAAAAAAAGAACAAGGGCCTAGTGTGTGCAAAATTGCAAGAACAAGGGCCTAGCGTGTGCAAACTTGCAAGAACAAGGGCCTAGCGAGTGCAAAATAGCAAGAACAAGGGCCTAGCGTGTGCAAAATAAAAAGAACAAGGGCCTAGCGTGTGCAAAATAAAAAGAACAAGGGCCTAGCGTGTGCAAAATTGCAAGAACAAAGGCCTAACGTGTGCAAATTTGCAAGAACAAGGGCATAGAGAGTGCAAAATAGCAAGAGTGAGGGCCTGGAGTGTGCAAAAAATCAAGAACAAGGGCCTAGTGTTCGCGAAATAGCAAGAACAAGGGCCTAGCGTGTGCAAAAAAAAAGAGCAAGGGCATAGCGTGTGCAAAATAGCAAGAACAAGAGCCTAGCGGGTGCAAAATAAAAAGAACAAAGGCATAGCGTGTGCAAAATAGCAAGAACAAGGGCCTAGCGTGTGCAAAATAAAAAGAACAAGGGCATAGCTTGTGCAAAATAGCAAGAACAAGGGCCTAGCGTGTGCAAAATAAAAAGAACAAAGGCATAGCGTGTGCAAAATAGCAAGAACAAGGGCCTAGCGTGTGCAAAAAAAAAAGAACAAGGGCCTTGCGTGTGCAAAATAGCAAGAACAAGGGCCTAGCGTGTGGAAAAAAAAAAAGAACAAGGGCCTAGCGTATGCAAAATAAAAAGAACAGGGCATAGCGTGTGCAAAATAGCAAGAACAAGGGCCTAGCGTGTGCAAAATAAAAAGAACAAGGGCCTAGCGTGTGCAAAATAGCAAGAAGAAAGGCCTAGCGTGTGCAGAATTGCAAGAACAAGGGCCTAGCGATTGCAAAATTGCAAGAGCAAGGGCCTAGCGTGTTCAAAAAATCAAGAACAAGGGCCTAGCGTTCGCGAAATAGCACGAACAAGGGCCTAGTATGTCCAAAATGGCAAGAACAAGGGCCTAGCGTGTGCAAAATAGCAAGAACAAGGGTCTAGCGTGTGCAAAATTGCAAGAACAAGGGCCTAGCATGTGCAAAATAGCAAGAACAAGGGTCTTGCGTGTGCAAAACTGCAAGAACAAGGGCCTAGCGTGTGCAAAATAAAAAGAACAAGGGCATAGCGTGTGCAAAATAGCAAGAACAAGGGCCTAGCGTGTGTCAGAGTATTATAGCTGATGCATGTTTGTAGGCTATAGTGGGGTAGCACATATGGGGTACAGCTTTCTAGGGTTGTATTTGTACCCAACTCTGACTTAGTCTTTTTCATTCCTGTTCACTTGTTTCACATGGTATAGAGCGGGTCCTTCCTTAGGACCGTTTTTTTTAGGGCCCACTGAAGCGCGCCCCGAGGCGCGCCTTTTTTTAGCGACCCCTCGGGTCGCCATTTCCCTCGCGGCCCCGCTGTCCCTCAGACGCGGCCACGCCACCCCTCCTGATCGCGGCCCCGCCGCCTGCTTGGCGCGGCCCCGCCGCCGGCTCTGACGCGGCCCTGCCGCCCGCTTCGTCGCGGCCCCGCCGCCTGCTTGACGCGGCCCCGCCGCCTCCACTGACGCGGCCCCACCGCCGGCTCCGCCGCTGCACCCCACGGCCCGCCGCTGCACCCTACGGCCCGCCGCCTCACCTGACGGCCCCGCCGCTGCACCTGCCGGCCCGCCGCTGCACCTGCCGGCCCGCCGCTGCACCCAGCGGCCCGCCGCTTCACCTGACGGCCCCGCCGCTGCACCTGCCGGCCCGCCGCTGCACCCTACGGCCCGCCGCTGCACCCTACGTCTCGCCGCCCCACCTGGTCGGCCCGCCGCTGCACCCTACGGCCCCGCCGCTGCACCTGCGGGCCCGCCGCTGCACCGGTCGACCCGCCGCTGCACCTGACGGCCCCGCCCCTGCATCTCCCGGCCGAGCCGCCCCAGCAGCAGAGCCGCCCCAGCAGCCGAACCGCCCGGGAGCCGAGCCGCCCAACGCCGAGCCGCCCGGGACCCGAGCCGCCCTGCCGCCGAGCCGCCCGGGAGCCGAGCCGCCCTGCACCCGAGCCGCCCTGCCGCCGAGCCGCCCGGGAGCCGAGCCGCCCTGCGCCCGAGCCGCCCAGCCGCCGAGCCGCCCGGGAGCCGAGCCGCTGTGCACCCGAGCCGCCCGGTCGCTGAGCCGCCTTTCTGCAGAGCTGCACGACCTGCCCTGCCTGGTGAGCACAGTCCCACTGACACTGCGAGCTCTTTCCCTACTGCTTGCACTGCGTCGCTGTCGTCGCCATGGCTACCCCTAGTGTCCTAGCTTTTGACGCTGAAGGTCGCGCCATTGATTTTGAGGTCTGGTTAGACGACCTGCAGCTGTTCTTACAGTGCGACAGGGCTGACAACCTTTCTCTCTTTGACCTCACCTCTGGCGCCTCTCCTGCTCCTGCTGCTGATGCTGATCCCACTGTCCGCTCTCAGTGGGCCACCCGCGATGCTGCTGCACGTCTTGCTGTGCGTCGCCACCTCCCTACCTCTGAGCGTGCGCACTTTAGTCAGTACAAGAGTGCTCAGACCTTGTACGACGCTGTAGTTGCGCGCTACTCCTCCCCTGCCACTGCTGCACTGAGCCGTCTCATGCTTCCCTACCTCTTTCCTGACCTCTCTGCCTTTCCCACTGTTGCTGACCTCATTACGCACCTCCGCACTAGTGACACTCGCTACCGCGCCGCCCTTCCTGCTGAGTTCTGCGCTAAGAACCCACCCCCCATGTACATCGCTCTCTACTACGTAGTCGCGCGCCTCCCTGACTCCCTTCGCGTCGTCAGGGACCACTTTCTCGCAGTCTGTCCCACCACCCTCACCGTCGACCTCCTCGAGAAGGCCCTCCTCGCAGCGGAGAAGAGCATAGTCGCTGTAGGTGCTTCTCGTGGTGACCCTCGCACCCCCATCTTTGAGGGGTTCTCTCCTTCAGACGGTGGTGGTGGTGGCAGCGGTGGTGGAGGAGGCAGCGGCGGAGGTGGAGGCGGCGGAGGTGGAGGCGGTGGAGGCGGCAGCGGAGGAGGCGGTGGTGGTGGAGGAGGTGGAGCTGGTCGGGGTGGTACCCAACAGCGTAGCGGCGGTGGTGGTGGCCAGCGCTCGCAGCGGCAGCAGCAGCAGCGCTCGCGGGACATCCCTCCGCCTCAGCAGCTTCGTGAGTGGTACGCTGGGCGTCAGAGGGGTGGGGGTACTGGTCCCTGCACCTACGTTCTTCGTTCCAGCGACCGCGCGGGTGAGCCGTGTGGGGGTGCCCACGCCACCCAGCGCTGCTTTGGCCGCCTGACGGACGCTTGGCGTCAGCAGTTCCCTGGGGCTAGTGAGATCCCTCGCTGGGATGAGCTTCTAAGGGCTGGTGTAGCGATCTTTGATCTTGATTTTGATGCTATCCTTGCTGCTATGTATGCTGTGGATTATAGTGAGGAGAATGAGGGTTACCGGTGTTTCCAGCCCGACCCGGGCATTGGTACTGCTGCGCTAGGTGCTTGTGAGGCTGCTGCTCTAGGTGCCAGTGCGTCTGTGCTCTCAGGTACTGGTGAGACTGCGCTCTCAGGTACTGCGTCGTCCTCGTCCTCCCTCACTTTCACACTTGACTCCGGGGCTTCTCGCTCCTTCTTTCGAGACCGCACTACCCTTACGCCGCTCGGCCGGCCGGTTGCGGTCTCCCTTGCTGACCCCTCTGGGGGTCTTGTCCTGTCTCACTTCTCCACTGTCCTCCCGTGTCCGGCTGCCCCTTCGGGCACCCTGTCTGGTCTGTACCTTCCGTCATTCTCTACGAACTTGGTGAGTGGAGCGGACTTGCAGGATGTGGGGGTTCACCAGTTCACTCCTGCGAGTCAGCGGGTGACCCACTGCACGGAGGCACGCACAGGCCGACACCTGGCCACGTTCTCGCGTCGGCCGGGGTCGAGTCTCTACACCCTGACCGTTGAGTCTCCTCCTGTCCCTGCGTCTGGTCAGGTGGCTGCGTCGGGTCAGGTGCTTGCTGCTGCGTCCCGGTCAGGTCCTGAGTCTGCCCCCTGTTCTTGTCGCCTCCTGTCTCACGAGACTCTCCTGTGGCACCACCGTCTTGGCCACCCCTCCTTGTGAAAGAAATGAGCAGAGGAATGAAATGACTAAGTCAGAAATGAGTACAAATAGCAAACCCTAATTGGGTTGTACCCCCTATGGGATACCCCGCTGTAGCCTACACAAACAGGTAAGCTATATGTTCTGACACACCCCCATAGGCAAAGTGGGGAGAACAAGGGGTCACAAGACCAGTCAAGCAAAGCAAAGCAAGCTCGGGGTGGATCACAAAGTCACCACACAGTCCGAGCACAAGAGCAAGGCCAAAGGCCAGTTCACATGCAAGAGTACAGACATATATATAAAGCAAGACAAGCAAGAGCAGGTATATATATATGTCACAGTACAAGTAAAGTCAAGAAGAGAGCAAGTGAGGCAAGACAGGCACAAGACCCAGCTGGGTACAAAAGCGCTGATGGTCACAAGGCGCAAGTGCCTTGGTGAACACATCAGCAGTGTTGGCCTCAGAGGCCACGTACGCAAGTCGCAACTGACCACGCTGCTGCAGCTCACGAGCAAGGAAGTAGCGGAGAGCAATGTGCTTCGTTCTGTGCTCCAAGCGCTGCTCTCGACACAAGGCCAGCATGGCCTTGTTGTCTACGTACAGCACTGGAGGAGAACGAGGCGGCTCTCCAAAGTCAGTCAGCAGGTAGGTGAGCCAGCGAAGCTCCTGTGCAGCCATGGCCCCGGCGTAGATCTCAGCCTCACAACTGGAGCCGAGAACCGAAGACGAGCGAGTAGACCGCCACGAGACAGAGCCGGAACCAAGGCTGAAGGTGTAACCCTGCGACGACCGCTGCGTAGCCTGGTCGTCAGCCCAAGAAGCGTCCGCGTGGCCTGTAAGGACCACTGGACTCCGCCCTCCAAGCACTAGCCCCATGCCCGACGTACTGCACAGGTAGCGCAATACCCTCTTCGCTGCAGCCATGTGCTCTGGTCGGTGTCTACCAGGAGCAACATAGCGTGCAAGAATGCTCAGAGGGTATGCAAGGTCAGGTCGTGTGCAGGTCATCAGGTACATGAGGCAGCCAACAAGCTCTGCATACGGACCACTCGACTCTACGGACTCATCCGAAGGCAGAGCTGAGAGTGAGTGGCGAGTAGGCAGAGGAGTGGCCTGAGGCGAGGAGTACGTGAAGCCGAAGCGCTGAAGGACCTGCTGCACCATGTGTGACTGGGTCAAGGTAATGGTGCGGCGTGCTCTGTCCCGAGTGATCTGCAAGCCAAGGTAGCTGCGCAGTTCACCCAGGTCTGTGCACGTGTGTCTCTTCAGCAGCTCGGACTTCACGTAGGCGAGTCCAGCAGTGTCCGCTGTGGCAAAGACCAAGTCGTCGACGTACACGAGGATGTAGAACGGCGGCAGAGAAGTGTCGGTGCGCAGAAACAGCGACGGGTCAGCAGTAGAAGGAGCAAACCCAAGAGCCGCAAGCGTAGTCCTCAGTGTGTCGTGCCACTCACGCGGTGCCTGGCGGAGACCGTAGACTGGCCGTCGGAGGCTCCACTGGGTGCCAGGAGGGAAAGTCCCAGTGAAGCCAGGCGGACGGCGCAGCCAGATCTCCTCGTGCAGGCTACCCTGCAGGAACGCAGTGCTGAAGTCGAGAGAGTGAAGCTCGTAGTCGCGCTGAGCGGCTATGTGCAGCAGCACCCGAAGAGTAGTCATCTTCGGGGTGGGAGAGAAGGTCTGAAAGTAGTCCACTCCCTGCCGCTGACTGAAGCCACGAGCAACGTACCGCGCCTTGAAGACAGGTGGAGAGCCCGGCGGCCGCTTCACCCGGAAGATCCACATGCCACTGACGATGTTCGCCCCAGGAGGGGGAACCTCGTCAACGTAGGTGCCTGTGGACTTCCAGGAAGCCATCTCTGCATCCATAGCTGCCTGCCACTGAGAGGAGTAGGGACCCTCTACGGCCTCCGCGTAAGAACGCGGAGTCGGGATGTCTAGTGCATCCGGGTCTCCCTCAGGGGCAAGCAGTACAGACGCGAGATGAGGTGAAGCAGCCGCTAGACACTGTAACTCCTCCTGCCTGTCCTCTAGGACGTCCGTGCCAAGAGCACACTCACCCCCGACGGACGGAGGACAGACAGACGCAGACTCAGTAACAAGACTAGCAGCGTAGTCTAGACGACAGCGAGCAGCAAAGTCGACGAGCTCAGAGACAAGAGCAGACGCAGCAGTGGACTCAAAAGAGGGGTCAGTGACGACAGTAGCAAGTAGACGCGTGACAGTAGGACTGGCAGCACGAAGAGAGTCCGACTCAGGGTCGGCAAGCGCAGGAAGAGAGGACTCAGGAGGAGAAGGCAAAGGGGCACGCAGAGGAGCAGTGGACGGACGCAGAGACATCCGGTGCGTGCCAGGGACAGGAGGAGGACGCTGACGCGAACTGCGACCACTAGTGCGAGCAGCACGAACAGGCGACGCAGGACGAGACGCAGGCTCACGACGCTCAGCAAGACCTCCAGTAGGACCAGTGTAAGGAGAGGGAGCAGGCAGTGGAGAGGAAGGCTCTAGCAGGGACTGCGACTGAACAGGCTGGGGACACTCTACTGGAGGAGAAAGACCAAGAACCTGCTGCAGAAGCGGAACGAAGTACGGCCGAGGCCGCGCGGCAGCTCCAGACGCAGCAGGGACAGTACCAGCACCCTCAGCAACAGCACCAGCGTCACCCACTCCTCCAGCAGCAGGACCAACAGCAGTAGTCTCAGCACCAACACCCTCAGCAGCTCCAGCTCCAGGAGGACCCGCAGGCCCAGCAGCTCCGGGACCGGCAGCACCAGCACCCTCGGCGGGCAAAGAAGCACCAACTCCAGCTCCATCAGTACCCCTAGACTCAGCAGCACGCCTCCAGCGGCGAGCGAACCACTCGCGCAGCTCCAGTGGAGAGAGGGGCTCCCGGCGAGGCGCAGCAGGAGAAGCCCCAGGCTCAACAGCTCCAGACGCAGCACCCCCAGGCTCCGCAGCTCCAGACGCAGTACCCCCAGGCTCAGCAGCTCCCAGCTCAGCACCCCCAGACCCAGCACCTCCAGGCACAGCACCCCCCGGCTCAGCACCCCCAGGCTCCGCACTCTCCGCAGTAGCACCCCCAGGCCCAGCACCCTCAGGCTCAGCTCCCTCGCGCACAGCACCCCCAGAGTCAGCACCCCCAGGCTCAGCACCCGCAGCAGCACCAGAGTCACCAGTAACCTCGACAGGGTCAACGGCGTCTACCTGGGACACACCTGAGGGGGCAGGAACCTGAGGGGGAAGGGGGTCTACCGGGGGGGGAAGCGGCACCAGGAAGTCCGGGGGAGGGGGGGGGGAGGGAGTACGGTAGGGGAAGAGACGGTAGAAGGGGACTGACTCGTCAAACGTGACGTCCTGGGAGGACAGAACACGACGAGAGGAGGGGTGGTAAAACTGCCACCCTGGGGCGTCAGTGGGGAAGCCAAGGAAGACACAGGGAGCAGCACGAGGGGACAGCTTGTCCGCAGACAAGTCGCGGACAAACGCCCGAGATCCCCAGACACGGAACGCAGACGCATCGCCAACCTTCCCTGTCCACAGCAAGGCTGGGGACATCGCAGGCCTAGAGACCCGGGGGTGAAGGTTGAGCTGATGCGCCGCGTACCTCACCGCGAACGGCCACAGAAAATGGGGGGCAGCCGCATGCATCATGGACGTACGAGCGACATCCATGACCATGCCAATGCGGCGCTCAGCAATCCCATTTTGCTGTGGAGAGTCCGGAAGCGTGAAGGTCTGGCGGATCCCCCGTGCCCGACAGTAGTCTCGCAGAAGGCGAGAGGAGAACTCTCCGCCTCTGTCCGAGTGCAGACGCAGAACAGGAAAGTCCGAGCCGAAGCTCTGCCTGAGCTGGAGACGAGCCTCGCGGATCCAGTCGATCAGCACCTCAGTGACCGCACCCTTGCTGCGCAAGGGGAGGACTGTGGTGTAACGCGAGTAGTCGTCAACCACCAACAGGAAGTAGCGCTCGTGACCCTGCCCACGGACGGGGGCTGGGCCCCACACATCCATGTGAAGCGTCTGCAGGGGAGCCTCTGTCGGGGGGAAGTGGGAGGAGTGAGGAGTAGCCCGGAGGCGACCCTCGACACAGGGGACACAGGAAGGTCCTGGCCCGGAGGGGAGAGGAGGGAGAGACCGGGGAAGACCAGAGACAAGGACACGGGAAGCCATGCTCCGAAGACGGGGCAAGGAGGGGTGGCCAAGACGGTGGTGCCACAGGAGAGTCTCGTGAGACAGGAGACGACAAGAACAGGGGGCAGACTCAGGACCTGACCGGGACGCAGCGGCAAGCTCCTGACCTGACGCAGCTACCTGACCGGACGCAGGGACAGGAGGAGACGAAGTGGTCAGGGTGTAGAGACTCGACCCCGGCCGACGCGAGAAGGTGGCCAGGTGTCGGCCTGTGCGTGCGTCCGTGCAGTGGGTCACCCGCTGACTCGCAGGAGTGAACTGGTGAACCCCCGCATCCTGTAGGGCTGCACCACTCACCAAGTTCGTCGAGAACGAGGGAAGGTACAGACCAGACAGAGCACCCGAAGGGGCAGCCGGACACGGGAGGACAGTGGAGAAGTGAGACAGGACAGGACCCCCAGAGGGGTCAGCCAGGGAGACCGCAACCGGCCGGCCAAGCGGCGTAAGGGTAGTGCGGTCTCGGAAGAAGGAGCGAGAAGCTCCGGAGTCAAGTGTGAAAGTGAGGGAGGACGAGGACGACTCAGTACCTGAAAGCGCAGCCTCACCAGTACCTGAGAGCGCAGACGCACTGGCACCTAGAGCAGCAGCCTCACAAGCACCTAGCGCAGCAGTACCAATGCCCGGGTCGGGCTGGAAACACCGGTAACCCTCATTCTCCTCACTATATGTCACAGCATACATAGCAGCAAGGATAGCATCAAAATCAAGATCAAAGATCGCTACACCAGCCCTAAGGAGCTCATCCCAACGAGGGATCTCACTAGCCCCGGGGAACTGCTGACGCCAAGCGTCCGTCAGGCGGCCAAAGCAGCGCGCGGTGGCGTGGGCACCCCCACACTGCTCACCCGCGCGGTCGCCGGAACGAAGAACGTAGGTGCAGGGACCAGTACCCCCACCCCTCTGACGCCCAGCGTACCACTCACGAAGCTGCTGGGGCGGAGGGATGTCACGTGAGCGCTGCTGCTGCTGCCGCTGTGAGCGCTGGCCACTACCACCGCCACTACGCTGCTGGGTACCACCTCGACCAGCTCCGCTCCCTCCACCACCTCCTGCTCCTCCGCCGCCGCCTCCACCGCCTCCACCGCCTCCGCCTCCACTTCCGCCGCTGCCACCCCCACCACCGCCGCCACCACCACCACCGTCTCCGCCGCTGCTGCCACCACCACCACCACCACCACTACTCCCGCCGCCACCCCCACTCCCGCTGCCGCCACCGCCGCCACCTCCACCGCTCCCTCCAGCTCCACCCGCGCCCTTGCCCCCCTTGCCCTTGCTGGAGCGACGTCTCCCACTAGGGGCAGACGCCGCGCCGACCGACTCAAGACCAAGCAGGTCGGCAGCAGCAGCAGAGGCAACAGAGGGCAGCAAGGGGGAAGGAGAGCACCCCTCAAAGATGGGGGTGCGAGGGTCACCACGAGAAGCCCCTACAGCAACTATGCTCTTCTCAGCTGAGAGGAGGGCCTTCTCGAGGAGGTCGACAGTGAGTGTGGTGGGACAGACTGCGAGAAAGTGGTCCCTGACTACACGAAGGGAGTCAGGGAGGCGCGCGACTACGTAGTAGAGAGTGATGTACATGGGGGGGGGGTTCTTAGCACAGAACTCAGCAGGAAGGGCGGCGCGGTAGCGAGTGTCACTAGTGCGGAGGTGCGTGATGAGGTCAGCGACAGTGGGAAAGGCAGAGAGGTCAGGAAAGAGGTAGGGAAGCATGAGACGGCTCAGTGCAGCAGTGGCAGGGGAGGAGTAGCGCGCAACTACAGCGTCGTACAAGGTCTGAGCACTCTTGTACTGACTGAAGTGCGCGCGCTCAGAGGTAGGGAGGTGGCGACGCACAGCAAGACGTGCAGCAGCATCGCGGGTGGCCCACTGAGAGCGGACAGTGGGATCAGCATCAGCAGCAGGAGCAGGAGAGGCGCCAGAGGTGAGGTCAAAGAGGGAAAGGCCGTCAGCTCTGTCGCACTGTAAGAACAGCTGCAGGTCATCTAGCCAGACCTCAAAATCAATGGCGCGACCCTCAGCGTCAAAAGCTAGGACACTAGGAGTGGCCATGGCGACGACAGCGAAGCAGTGGAGGCAGTAGGGGAAGAGCACGCAGTGATAGTGGGACTGTGCTCACCAGGCAGGGCAGGTCGTGCAGCTCGACCGGACGGCAGCACGGCAACCGGGCGGCTCGGGTGGACAGCGGCTCGGCTCCCGGGCGGCTCGGCTGGAGGGCGGCTCGGGTGCAGGGCGGCTCGGCTCCCGGGCGGCTCGGCGACAGGGCGGCTCGGGTGCAGGGCGGCTCGGCTCCCGGGCGGCTCGGCGACAGGCCGGCTCGGGTGCAGGGCGGCTCGGCTCCCGGGCGGCTCGGCGACAGGGCGGCTCGGGTTCCGGGCGGCTCGGCTCCCGGGCGGCTCGGCTGCTGTAGGGCGGCTCGGCTGCTGCAGGGCGGCTCGGCTGCAGTCTGAAGACGGCGGCTGGGCCGCTGGAGAGCCGGCAGGGCCGCGAGGGAGCCGGCGGGGCCGCAATAGGAGCTGGTGGCGGGGCCACAGTAGAGCCGGCGGGGCCGCATGGGAGCCGGCGGGGCTTCAGTAGGAGCCGGTGGCGGGGCCGAAGTAGGAGCCGGCGGGGCCGCAGAAGGAGCCGGCGGCGGGGCCGCTGGAGAGCCGGCGGGGCCGCAAAGGAGCCGGCGGGGCCGTAGTAGGAGCCGGCGGCGGGGCCGCAATAGGAGCCGGCGGGGCCTCGTAGGAGCCGGCGACGGGGCCGCAGGGAGAGCCGGCGCGGGGCCACGTAGGAGCCGGCGTAAGGGGCCGCGTAAGGGGCCGGCGCAGGGCCGCGTAAGGGCCGCGGAAGGGGCCGACGCGGGGCCGCGTAAGGGCCGCGTAGGGGCCGGTGCGGGGCCGCGTAGGAGCCGGCTCGGAGGGGCCGCGAAAGGGGCCGCGTAGGAGCCGGCGTGTAGGGGCCGCGTAAGGGGCCGCGTAGAGGCCGCGTAGGAGCAGGCGCGGGGCCGCGTAGGAGCAGCTTAGGAGGGGGCGGCGGGGCCGCAGGAGAGAGGGCGACTCGGGGGGGGGTCGCTAAAAATTTCGCGCCTCGGGGGCGCGCTTCGGTGGGCCCAAGGAAAACGGTCCTAGAGGGACCTAGCTCTATACCATGTGAAAGAAATGAGCAGAGGAATGAAATGACTAAGTCAGAAATGAGTACAAATAGCAAACCCTAATTGGGTTGTACCCCCTATGGGATACCCCGCTGTAGCCTACACAAACAGGTAAGCTATATGTTCTGACACTCCTTGCCCCGTCTTCGGAGCATGGCTTCCCGTGTCCTTGTCTCTGGTCTTCCCCAGTCTCTCCCTCCTCTCCCCTCCGGGCCAGGACCTTCCTGTGTCCCCTGTGTCGAGGGTCGCCTCCGGGCTACTCCTCACTCCTCCCACTCCCCCCCGACAGAGGCTCCCCTGCAGACGCTTCACATGGATGTGTGGGGCCCAGCCCCCGTCCGTGGGCAGGGTTACGAGCGCTACTTCCTGTTGGTGGTTGACGACTACTCGCCTTGCGCAGCAAGGGTGCGGTCACTGAGGTGCTGATTGACTGGATCCGCGAGGCTCGTCTCCAGCTCAGGAAGAGCTTCGGCTCGGACTTTCCTGTTCTGCGTCTGCACTCGGACAGAGGCGGAGAGTTCTCTTCTCGCCTTCTGCGGGACTACTGTCGTGCATGGGGGATCCGCCAGACCTTCATGCTTCCGGACTCACCACAGCAAAATGGGATTGCTGAGCGCCGCATTGGCATGGTCATGGATGTCGCTCGTACGTCCATGATGCATGCGGCTGCTGTGAGAATAAGCGAACAGGAATGGATCAACTAGAAGTGAAAAGAGTACAAGTAGTAAACCCTAGAATTGTGTACCCCCTATGGGCTAACCCACTGTAGCCTACACAAGTATAACATATATAATGTTTGACACACCCCCATAGGCTAAGTGGGGGAGAACAAGGGGTCACAAGACCAGTCAAGCAAAGCAAAGCAAGCTCAGGGTGGATCACAAAGTCACCACACAGTCCGAGCACAAGAGCAGGGCCAGAGGCCAGTTCACATGCAGGAGTACAGACATATATATAAAACTAGACAAGCAAGAGCAGGTATATATATATGTCACAGTACAAGTAAAGTCAAGAGGAGAGCAAGTGAGGCAAGACAGACACAAGACCCAGCTGGGTGCAAAAGCGCTGATGGTCACAAGGCGCGAGTGCCTTGGTGAACACATCAGCAGTGTTGGCCTCAGAGGCCACGTACGCAAGTCGCAACTGGCCACGCTGCTGCAGCTCACGAGCAAGGAAGTAGCGGAGAGCAATGTGCTTCGTTCTGTGCTCCAAGCGCTGCTCTCGACACAAGGCCAGCATGGCCTTGTTGTCTACGTACAGCACTGGAGGAGAACGAGGCGGCTCTCCAAGGTCAGTCAGCAGGTAGGTGAGCCAGCGAAGCTCCTGTGCAGCCATGGCCCCGGCGTAGATCTCAGCCTCACAACTAGAGCCGAGAACCGAAGACGAGCGAGTAGACCGCCACGAGACAGAGCCGGAACCAAGGCTGAAGGTGTAACCCTGTGACGACCGCTGCGTAGCCTGGTCGTCAGCCCAAGAAGCGTTTGCGTGGCCGGTAAGGACCACTGGACTCCGCCCTCCAAGCACAAGCCCTATGCCCGACGTACTGCACAGGTAGCGCAATACCCTCTTCGCTGCAGCCATGTGCTCTGGTCTGTGTCTCCCAGGAGCAACATAGCGTGCAAGAATGCTCAGAGGGTATGCAAGGTCAGGTCGTGTGCAGGTCATCAGGTACATGAGGCAGCCAACAAGCTCTGCATATGGACCACTCGACTCTACGGACTCATCCGAAGGCAGAGCTGAGAGTGAGTGGCGAGTAGGCAGAGGAGTGGCCTGAGGCGAGGAGTACGTGAAGCCGAAGCGCTGAAGGACCTGCTGCACCATGTGTGACTGAGTCAAGGTAATGGTGCGGCGTGCTCTGTCCCGAGTGATCTGCAAGCCAAGGTAGCTGCGCAGTTCACCCAGGTCTGTGCACGTGTGTCTCTTCAGCAGTTCGGACTTCACGTAGGCGAGTCCAGCAGTGTCCGCTGTGGCAAAGACCAAGTCGTCGACGTACACGAGGATGTAGAACGGCGGCAGTGAAGTGTCAATGCGCAGAAACAGCGACGGGTCAGCAGTAGAAGGAGCAAACCCAAGAGCCGCAAGCGTAGTCCTCAGTGTGTCGTGCCACTCACGCGGTGCCTGGCGGAGACCGTAGACTGGCCGTTGGAGGCTCCACTGGGTGCCAGGAGGGAAAGTCCCAGTGAAGCCAGGTGGACGGCGCAGCCAGATCTCCTCGTGCAGGCTACCCTGCAGGAATGCAGTGCTGAAGTCGAGAGAGTGAAGCTCGTAGTCGCGCTGAGCGGCTATGTGCAGCAGCACCCGAAGAGTGGTCATCTTCGGGGTGGGAGAGAAGGTCTGAAAGTAGTCAACTCCCTGCCGCTGACTGAAGCCACGAGCAACGTACCGCGCCTTGAAGACAGGTGGAGAGCCCGACGGCCGCTTCACCCGGAAGATCCACATGCCACTGACGATGTTCGCCCCAGGAGGGGGAACTGCGTCAACGTAGGTGCCTGTGGACTTCCAGGAAGCCATCTCTGCATCCATAGCTGCCTGCCACTGAGAGGAGTAGGGACCCTCTACGGCCTCCGCGTAAGAACGCGGAGTCGGGATGTCTAGTGCATCCGGGTCTCCCTCAGGGGCAAGCAGTACAGACGCGAGATGAGGTGAAGCAGCCGCTAGACACTGTAACTCCTCCTGTCTGTCCTCTAGGACGTTCGTGCCAAGAGCACACTCACCCCCGACGGACGGAGGACAGACAGACGCAGACTCAACAACAAGACCAGCAGCGTAGTCGAGACAACAGCGACCAGCAATGTCAACGAGCTCAGCGACTAGAGCAGACGCAGCAGTGGACTCAAAAGAGGGGTCAGTGACGACAGTAGCAAGCAGACGCGTGACAGTAGGACTGGCAGCGCGAAGAGAGTCCGACTCAGGGTCGGCAAGCGCAGGAAGAGAGGACTCAGGAGGAGAAGGCAAAGGGGCACGCAGAGGAGCAGTGGACGGACGCAGAGACATCCGGTGCGTGCCAGGGACAGGAGGAGGACGCTGACGCGAACCGCGACCACTAGCGCGAGCAGCACGAACAGGCGACGCGGGACGAGACGCAGGCTCACGACGCTCAGCAAGACCTCCAGTAGGACCAGTGTAAGGAGATGGAGCAGGCAGAGGAGAGGAAGGCTCCAACAGTGACTGCGACTGGACAGGCTGTGGACACTCTACCGAAGGAGAAAGACCAAGAACCTGCTGTAGGAGCGGAACAAAGTACGGCCGAGGCCGCGCGGCAGCTCCAGACTCAACAGGGACAGCACCAGCACCCTCAGCGACAGCACCAGCGCCACCCACACCTCCAGCGGCAGGACCAACAGCAGTAGGCTCAGCACGAACGCCCTCAGCACCTCCCGCTCCAGGAGGACCCGCAGGTCCAGCAGCTCCGGGACCGGCAGCACCCGCACCCTCGACGGTCGAAGAAGCTCCAGCTCCAGCTCCAGCAGCACCTCCAGACTCAGCAGCACGCCTCCAGCGGCGAGCGTACCACTCGCGCAGCTCCTGTGGAGAGAGGGGCTCCCGGCGAGACGCAGCAGCAGGAGAAACCCCAGGCTCAGCAGCTCCAGACGCAGTAGGGACAGCACCAGCACCCTCAGCTACAGCACCAGCGCCACCCACACCTCCAGCGGCAGGACCATCAGCAGTAGGCTCAGCACCCACGCCCTCAGCAGCTCCAGCTCCAGGAGGACCCGCAGGTCCAGTAGCTCCGGGACCGGCAGCACCCGCACCCTCGACGGTCGAAGAAGCTCCAGCTCCAGCTCCAGCAGCACCTCCAGACTCAGCAGCACGCCTCCAGCGGCGAGCGAACCACTCGCGCAGCTCCTGTGGAGAGAGGGGCTCCCGGCGAGACGCAGCAGCAGGAGAAACCCCAGGCTCAGCAGCTCCAGACGCA